ATTTATTGTTAAAATTTGTGATGTTTGTATCAGGCATCCGGTAAATGGCACCAATTGTCATAGGAGTCTTAAGGTTTTTTGTAGTAAAATTTTCAAAATGTATTCTGTATATTTATCACTATATATAGCAAGTGGTGTTACAACATGATAGTTTTTTTTTTTTCTCTCTCAACAAGTCGGCCGTCTCCCACCGAGGCAGGGTGACCCAAAGAGAAAGAAAATCCCCAAAAAGAAAATACTTTCATCATCATTCAACACTTTCACCTCACTCACACATAATCACTGTTTTTGCAGAGGTGCCCAGGATACAACAGTTTAGAAGTATATACGTATAAAAATACACAATACAGTGGACCCCCGGTTAACGATATTTTTTCACTCCAGAAGTTTTTCAGGTGCCAGTACTGACCGAATTTTTTTCCCCATAAGAATAGGGGAAGTAGATTATCCTTTTCAGACCCCAAAAACACTACAAACTCCTCCATAAATACAACAAAATTTGGGTCGCATTCTGAGTAATCGTTTATGGGGGGGTCCACTGTATATGTTCCAAACTGCCCAATATCCCAAACCCCCTCCTTTAGAGTGTAGGCATTGTACTTCCATTTCCAGGACCAACCCGGTTTTTAAAAATAACCAGTTTCCCTGAACCCCTTCACAAAATATTACCCTGCCACCCCCAACAGATGTCAGGTCCCAAATACCATTTGTCCCCATTCACTCCTATCTAACATGCCACGCACCTTGCGGAAGTCCAAACCCCTCGCCACAAACCTCCTTTACCCCCCCCCCTTAACCTTTTCGGGGACGACCCCCACCCCGCCCTTTCCCTTTTCCTCAGATTTATACGCTCTCCGTCATTTACTTGACCCTTCTCTCTAAATGCCCTTGGGTAATAGGGGCAGTACCACCCCCAACTTGGGGGTGGCTGCAGTTGGGGTTGCTTGTTCCTGGGGCTGGGCATATCTATTGTGTCCTGTATAAACCAGGTTTCAGTGGAAAATTACGGAAAGGGGCTTAAGGAGTGCAAGGAGGGCATCATGTGTTTTTCTTAGGGGGCCCATATTGTAATTGAGAACTGTAATATTTTTGGGATACTTAGAACAGTGCTGCCTTGTGATGTCATGTAATAGACACAGTTACTTGCCATTAAATTTTGATTGGTAATTAGATTATGTAGATTTAGATCTGGGTCTATTTGATCATTTAGCATTTAGGTTAAAAGGGAATTATTTTAATTATTTATGTTTTTTAGGCCCAATAAGGGTATCTGTACTTTGGGGATGTTTGGACAGGTGTGTAGTTAATGTATGTTGGTTATGTAGAGTGTAGAACATAATAGACATAATGAACTTAAGTGTGACAGTGTAATAAGCTATTAATGAACTGTAGTATTTACTATGTATGAAGCTGTTAACACCCAAAAATTTTAAAAAAATGTGCACCAGACTATACTTGTTATTAAAATAAAGCAAACTTAACTGTTTTCAAAGGTTACTAAAAAAAAAAAAAGCACAGTTTTAGATTAAAGACTATATGGATTTTATCCATGATATGATGATAAGACTGTAATGACAGATATTAATAAAAGATACTAATAAACTGTAAATTGGAATATTTGGTAACACAAATTTTAAAAAGTAAAATAAAAATAGGTTGTAATAAAAGATACTAAGAAATAGGGCAATGATATGGTAAATTACAAATGGAATATTTGGCAACACAGATTTTAAAAAGTAAAGTAAAAAATAAGTTGTAAGAAAAGATAATAAGAGGATTACAAATGGTGAAGTAGGACAAAGATATGGTAAATTACAAGTATATATAGTAATAGAGGTGATGATAAAGGGTAATAATAGAGATTATGTAGAGATTAAAAACAATTAAGACTTTGAGATAGAGTGGTAATTGAATACAAAAGTGAAATACAAAAGCAACAAAAGTAATATGAGGGTATTAGAGTCTAAGCAACTAATTTTACGACAGTATATAACTATTACATATTGGTTCATAACACTGATTGTGGATGGTGGGAAAAATTGCACCTTACTCTGAGTCAGTTAAACCAGCCTTGTTAAGAAACTTTTTTAGTTCCTATTCCATAGAGATGAAGTACCTCTTTCCAGTGTGTTCTTTCCTAGCTGCGATTTTACCGTCCCTCACAAAGCACTGATGGATTTTTTGGTTGTGGCATAATTTTCTCAATCAATAAAGGAGGCTTTGCCTTGTTTTGGTAAGGCACTCATTTACATATACCTCGGATTTCATTGATATGGATGGTTTTAACAGGCAAGTTAGTGTTGAATTTTAATAGAAATGTTTTTTCCCTGCTTAGTAGCCCATTAGTTTGCAATCTTTTACTTCATCACTATGTATGTTTAGGCTAAGGTGGTCCTTAAGCTGTAGAGTGGTCTCCATGCATGTCACTTGGGTTACTTTAGGTGGGAGATGGCTGCTATTAACTACAACAGCATCAGAGAGCTGTTGTTTGTCATTATGATCTTGGAAGTTGTTGATGACATCAGTGAGTTGGAGCTCAACTCATGATCTTTCATCTATGAAGGTGGAGTTTAGCTTAGTGACTTGCTCTTGAAGGCTCTTGATGGTGTGCTCAGTTTCAGTGTGGCTGTTATTTTTACCTTCTAGGGTAGTGAATCTGTCAAGTAATTGATCGTTGGCAGCTTTGAGTTGTACTTCCTGGGTGAGTAAGCCATTTGCTGTTCTTAATTCCTGTATTTCTTGAATTAATGTGGCGATTTGTTGGTCTTGTGCCTTGATGTATGCAGCCATCTCCAGATATTGCAGCTCCAGTTTGTCGAATCCAAGGAAGGAGTTCACCTTTTTACTTGGGGTGGTGGCCATGTTTTTTGATGTTCGGCGAGTGGTGTGGGGGCTGTGGTGGGTGGAGTGGGTTGCACCCTTCTTGTTTGAAGGAGGAGACGCTGTACCAGTAGTATCATTCCCCTCACCTGTGTTGTTGTGGGTCCTGGCTTGATTACTGGATTTTCTTCTGTTGTGCTGACCCTTGGCCATCGACATTAGGTTCAGGCGGCTTGTTGAATATGGGTAGTAGGCAGATGTAGAGAGGATTAACATAATGATAAACTGATCATCTATCACAAAACTCACAGGGAAAATTCTTAGGATTCCACCTTGATAATAGCCTCAAATTTCAGACACATAAACAACAACTTTCCAAGAAAGTATCCAAGACCGTAGGCATTCTATCAAAGATACAGTACTATGTTCCACAATCCCCTGTATCACTCACTTATTTACCCCTATCTCACCTATGGAATCTGTGCATGGGGCTCAGCAACAATAAATCATCTCAGACCATTAATTATCCAACAAAAGGCTGCAGTCAGAATGATAACAAATTCCCACTCCAGACAGCACACTCCACCAATATTCAAAAGTCTAAACTTAATCACCGTACAAAACATCCATACTTATTATTGTGCCTACTACATACATAGAACATTAAACTCAGATATAAACCCTCCCCTCAAACTTCTCCTTACCAGCCTTAACAGAACACACGACCATAAACAAGACACAGATCACTTTGATGTTCCTCGTGTCCATCTCACACTATGTAAAAACTCAATGCACATAAAAGGCCCAAAAATTTGGAATTCATTACCAGTGACTACCAAAGAAACACTGTTTGTATATCAATTCAAGACTTCTTAAAAACCACCTACTCACTCAAAACTAATTATGCAGTATTTGATTTAACTTAACCTACATAGTTAACAAATCACTTTCTACTACCTCAAAATATCATTACTCACTATGTTACTTCCCTAGCCTTAGGACCCCATAATTAAATGCTCACAGATCAATAAATTTTCATATCTAACCTAATGCAAATATTGAATAACTTATATTTCATAAATGTATAACCCAGTTGTATAATTAGAGAAACCTTATCAAACTATGTTTTTATAGCATTACCTAATAGAATAATCCATTCTCTTGAATGCACTGTAACTCATCTAATGACCATATGAACTGTTACTGCACTGCAGATCATTGATTTGACTTGATTAGATCTGATTATTAAATTGTACAACTACATACAGTAAATTGATCATTTTGTTATATTATTAACTGTAATGTTACAAAATTGTAAAACTTTAATGCTTCAAAATTGAAAATGTTCAAATTCATTGTTTAAAATACTCAATTGTACTTGATATTGTAAATTGTCTACAGTAACTGTTACCATTAAATCTGTTATACCTTAGATAGTCTTTAGTTAATTTTAAGCCTCCCGATAATGCTCTCCATACAAGGGGCTTTCGACTTGTACACCCAACTACTATAATACCTTGTACAACTATTTGTCATGTCCTAATAAATATCATCATCATCATCATCATCATCATCATCATCATCATCATCGTCATCGTCATCGTCATCGTCATCGTCATCGTCATCGTCATGTCATTGTCATCGTCATCGTCAACAACAACAACAAAAAACAAACAAACAAACAACAATAATAATAATAATGCCAGTTTTAAAGCCAACAATCTCTAGATCCTTTTTTTTTTTTTAAATCCTTCTGGGCGATCTGTCCGATACTTGAATGAGCATGTTTTCTAAGAGCTACCATACTTGCACACTTCCTAGATGTAACATCTATCATAAATTTCATCAATCATGAATTGAATGGGAGAATTTGGCAAAACCACATTCACTCATTGAGCATGCTGGCAGGAACAGCACTGACAAGTCGCAGGGTAACACCGCAGCTGGGTGGTTGCCAGAAATAGGCAGCAAACTCTTTTTGAAAAGAAAAGAACCCAAACTACATTAATTAAGCTGGAAACTAAGACATATTTTGAGATAATCACAAAATTTATTCCTGTCCCAAATAACTTGCACACTACTGTACCTCTGCTTATATTTGTACTGTATTATAATTATGAGGCACTGTGAAAGTGTTTTTATCACTTACAAGTGTTAGATACTTTCTTAAATCTTTATAGGTTGGTGACAAGCTGTATATGGTCAATGGACACGATGTGGAAATCTGTGACCATTATGAAGCAGTTAACATTATGCGTGAAGCAGGCTCTCAGCTAAGACTTGTGGTTTCCCGTGAAGTAACTAGAATTGTTCCAGAAAAGGTTGGTCTCTCTTTCTAGCTTTCAAGAAGAACTCTCCTTATTAGTTTCAGTGAATAATTCCATAGAAATTAAGTGTATTTTGGTCCTCTGTATGATGTCAATAGGAAAAACTATTTTTTTATCCTTTTTGATGGTAATTTTGGATAGTTTATCTTCAACTGTATATCTAGTTCTCCGTAGATGTGTAACATTCATTTCTCTGGGAACTCTTCTTGAGGGACTGACTTATATGAAAACGCCTGGGGATGCACTCCACCATGCTACATCGATGACCTTATACCATACTTTCACTTGGAGTTCACTCCACCTTGCAACATATATGAGATGCTATCAAAAAGTTCCAGGTCTGCTGCTGCTGCCAAAAAAAGAGAAATATATACATGTATATGCTTACCTAATCACTTAGTTGAAGTTGTCTCCTTTGATGTACAGTAGTCCACCCAAATTCGCAGGGGTTACGTTCCAAGACCACCTACAAATTTGGAAAAACTGCGAATTCTGGACGCGGTTAAAAAAATGCCTATAAATGCTAGTGTTTATAGATTAAACCCTAAATATGCTCCCCAAACATTTTAATTTAATTTCAAACTCGGCTTCATACATTTTTTTTTTCAACAAGTTGACCGTCTCTCACCAAAGCAGAGTGACCCGAAAAGAAAGAAAATCCCCAAAAAGAAAATACTTTCATCCTCATTCAACACTTTTCACCACACTTATACATAATCACTGTCTGCAGAGGTGACTAGATGCAACAGTTTAGAAACATATATAAAGATATATAACATATCCCTCTAAACTGCCAATATCCCAAACCCCTACTTTAAAGTGCAGACATTATACTTCCCATTTCCAGTACTCAAGTCTGGCTATATAAAATTAACCGATTTCCTTGAATCCCTTAACTAAATATTACCCTGCTCACACTCCAACAGCTCGTCAGGTCCCAAAAACCATTTGTCTCCATTCACTCCTATCTAACATGCTCATGCACGCTTGCTGGAAGTCCAAGCCCCTCGCCCACAAAACCTCCTTTACTCCCTCCCTCCAACCTTCTTGAGGATGACCCCTACCCCTCCTTCCTTCCCCTACAGATTTATATGCTCTCCAAGTCATTATTCTTTGGTCCATTTTCTCTAAATGACCAAACCACCTCAACAACCCCTCTTCAGCCCTCTGACTATTTTTTTTTTTTTTCAACAAGTCAGCCATCTCCCACCGAGGCAGGGTGACCCAAAAAAGAAAGAAAATCCCCAAAACGAAAATGCTTTCATCATCATTCAACACTTTCACCACACTCACACATTATCACTTTTTGCAGAGGTGCTCAGAATACAACAGTTTAGAAGCATATACGTATAAAGATACACAACATATCCCTCCAAACTGCCAATAGTCGGACTTGAGTCCTGGAAATGGGAAGTACAATGCCTGCACTTTAAAGGAGGGGTTTGGGATACTGGCAGTTTGGAGGGATATGTTGTGTATCTTTATACGTATATGCTTCTAAACTGTTGTATTCTGAGCACCTCTGCAAAAGCAGTGATAATGTGTGAGTGTGGTGAAAGTGTTGAATGATGATGAAAGTATTTTCTTTTTGGAGATTTTCTTTCATTTTTTGGGTCACCCTGCCTCGGTGGGAGACGGCCGACTTGTTGAAAAAAAAAAAAAAGTCCGACTATATGAAAATAACCGGCTTCCCTGAATCCCTTCACTAAATATTACCCTGCTCACACTCCAACTCTAATACTTTTAGTAATTCCACACCACCATTTAATTTCCACACTCCATATTCTCTGCATAATATATACACCAGACATTGCCCTTAGACAGGACATCTCCACTGCCTCCAACTGCCTCCTCGCTGCAGCATTTACAACCCAAGCTTCACACCCATATAAGAGAGTTCGTACCACTATACTTTCATACATTCCCTTCTTTGCTTCTATAGATAATGTCTTTTTTTGTCTCCACAGATACCTCAACATGCCACTCACCTTTTTGCCTTCATAAATTCAGTGGTTAACCTCATCCTACATAAACCCATCTGCTGACAAGTCAACTCCCAAATATCTGAAAATATTCACTTCTTCCATACTCGCTCTCTCCAATGTGATATCCAATTTTTCTTTATCTAAATCGTTTGATACCCTCATTACCTTACTCTTATATATGTTCACTCTCAACTTTCTACCTTTACACACCCTCCCAAACTCATCCACTAAGCTTTGCAACTTTTCTTTAGAATCTCACATAAGCACAGTATCATCAGCAAAAAGTAACTGTGTCAACTCCCATTTTGTTCTCGATTCCCCATAATTTAATCCCACCCCTCTCCGCAACACCCTAGCATTCGCCTCCTTCACAACCCCATCTATAAATTTATTAACCATGGTGACATTACACATCCCTCTCTGAGACATACTTTTACCGGGAAGTAATCTCCGTCTCTCCTTCACACTCTAACCTGAGCCTCACTATCCTCATAAAAACTCTACATCATTTAGTATCCTACTACCTATTCCATATACTTGCAGCATCTGCCACATTGCTTCTCTATCCACTCTGTCATATGCCTTTTCTAAATTCATAAATGCAATGAAAATTTCCCTACCTTTATCTAGATACTGTTTGCATATAGGCTTCAATGTAAACACTTAATCCACACATCCCCTACCCACTCTAAAACCTCCTTGCTCATCCGCAATTCTGCATTCTGTCTTACCTCTAATTCTTTCAATAATAATCCTACCGTACACTTTACCTGGTATACTCAGTGAACTTATTCCCCTATAATTTTTACCATCTCTTTTGTCCCCCTTCACTCTATATAAAGGAACTATACATGCTCTCTGCCAATTCTTAGGTACCTTTCCCTCTTTCATACATTTATTAACCAAAAATACCAGCGACTCTAACACAATATATCCCCCCTGCTTTTAACATTTCTGTCATGATCCCATCAGTTTCAGCTGCTTTACCCCTTTTCATTCTACATAATGCCTCATGCACCTCCCCCTTCACTCACATCCTGGTCTTCTTCACTCCTAAAGGATGTTATACCTCCCTGACCTGTGCACGAAATTACCGCCTCCCTTTCTTCATCAACATTTAAAAGTTCCTCAAAATATTCCCGCCATCTACCCAATGCCTCCAGCTCCCCATCTACTAACTCCCCTTCTCTGTTTTTAACTGACAAATCCATTTATTCCCTAGGCTTTCTTAATGTGTTTATCTGCAAAATTTTTTCTTTTCATTAAAATTTCTTGACAGTGCCTCTCCCACTTTTTCATCTGCTCTCCTTTTGCACTCTCTCATCACACTCTTCACCTTTTTTTACTCTCCATATTCTTTGCTCTTCTTACAACATTTCTACTTGAAAAAAAACTTTCATAAGCTACCTTTTTCTCGTCCACTAACCTTTGCAATTTTTCTTTAGAATCTCCCTTAAGCACAGTATCATCAGCAAAAAGTAACTGTATCACTTCCCATTTGTATTTGATTCCCCATAATTTAATCCCACCCCTCTCCCGAACACCCTAGCATTTACTTCTTTTACAACCCCATCTATAAATATATTAAACGACCATCGTGACATTACACATCCCTGTCTAAGACCTACTTTTACTGGGAAGTAGTCTCCCTCTCTTCTCCACACCCTAACCTGAGCCTCACTATCCTCATAAAAACTCTTAACAGCATTTAGTAACTTACCACCTATTCCACATACTTGGGACATCTGCCACATTGCTCCCCTATCCACTCTATCATATGCATTTTCTAAATCCATAAATGGTTGGTCATTTAGAGAGAATGGAACAAAGCAAAATAACTTGGAGAGTGTATAAATCTGTAGGGAAAGGAAGACTGGGTAGGTATCATCCCTGAATAGATTGGAGGCAGGGGGTAAAGGAGTTTTTGTGGGTGAGGGGCTTGGACTTCCAGCAAGCATGCATGAGTGTGTTAGATAGGAGTGAATGGAGACAAATGGCTTTGGGGACCTGACGAGCTGTTGGAGTGTGAGCAGGGTAATATTTTGTGAACTGATTCAGGGAACCCGGTTAGCCAGACTTGAGTCATGGAAATGGGAAGTACAATGCCTGCACTTTAAAGGAGGAGTTTGGGATACTGGCATTTTGGAGGGACATCTAAGCTGTCATATCTGAGTGCCTCTATTGAAACAGTGATTATGTATGAGTGATGGTGAACGTGTTGAATGATGAAAGTTTTTGCTTTCTTTTTTCTTTTTTTTTCTTTTTGGGTTACCCTGCCTCGGTGGGAAAAGGCCTACATGTTTAAAAAAAAAAAATCTTTGGGTTTATTCTTTTAACCCTTTGACTGTTTCAGGCCCCTTTCTGAAACTGTCATTCTATGACACCAAATATTCGAAAAAAAAAAATTATTTTTTCTCATGAAATGATAGAGAATCTTTTCCTGATGGTAATGACACCAAATGTTCGAAATTTGGTCGAAAACTCACGGAATTACTCTCCCATGAAGTTCGCAGAATCAGCGACGTATGTGTATCGGCGATTTCGCCGACTTTGAGCCCTGTTTTCAACCAATTTCGTTGTTCCAGTTGACCAAACTCATAGCTATTTCTTTAGAACTACATTTTATCTATCAGCTGAGTACAAGAAACTGCCCATTTACCAATTTGAACTACCCAATATAGTGGTCAGAAATTGGCAATTTGGCCAATTTCATGCAAATTAAAAATGATGCCAATTTCAAAATAAGGTCCAGAATAAACAAGGTAGACATTCTTGGCACTAAAATAGCATATCCTCTGTTCATTAGTCACATCTCTAGGCCCCTCTTATATTATTATTGCTTTCTATTTTGATTTTTTATTCATTCAAAAAAATACAAAATTTACTGTTATGCAGACTACTGCAGTATTGTAAAAGTGGTATAAATAATATCAGTGCACTAGTGAAAGAATATTAGACTCCCCAGGTGACGTGTATTGGACGTAGTGTGATTTTTTTACTCCTGAACATTGGTAAAAATCGAACATTTCCGCTAATTTGAGCTCAGTTTCAAGGTCGTTTTCATTGTCAAAGTAATGAAAATCATCTCTATTTCTGTAATATGTTTTCCATTTTATCACCTAAGACCATGAAAACGCGAATACAACGATAAATATTATACGAAAATACACCTCAAAGTCGGCGTTTTATTCCAAAAAAACGATCAGTTTTTTTTTTTCTCATTACGCAATGTGTGCTGCAGGATTTTTTTTATGTGGTGCACACTGATCACACAGACCCATTCACTCACATGTGGGCCTACCAGCTTTCTCCCGCTTGATTTGAAGCCACTAGAATTATCGAGTATATATACGTCAGAAACATTGGCTCGTAAGACGTATTTATACGTCGAAAACAGTCAAAGGGTTAATTATACAGTGGACCTTTGGTTTTTGGCCAGTGTGGAAATCGTGCAATTTGGATTTTGAGCATTTTTTTGGGGGTAGAATACCCCCCCCCAACCCCACTGATGGGGGGGTTCGTACATCGGCTCGGAAATTGAAATAAGACATTTAATGTCTTATTTTCCATTAATATAGACATTTTCATTAATCCATCAATGATTTTTTCTTCAAAATTATGTAAGAAACACATTACATAGCATATAAACATGCAGTGTTTTTATGCGACGACTCCCACCGAGGCAGGGTGACCCAACAAGAAAGAAAATCCCCAAAAAGAAAATACTTTCATCATCATTCAACTCTTTCACCTCACTCACACAGTCACTGTTTTTGCAGAGGTGCTCAGAACACAACAGCTTAGAAGCATGTATGTATAAAGATACACAACATATCCCTCCAAACTGTCAATATCCCGAACCCCTCCTTTAGAGTGCAGGCATTGTACTTCCCATTTCCAGGACTCAAGTCCGGCTATATAAAAATAACCGGTTTCCCTGAATCCCTTCACTAAATATTACCCTGCTCACACTCCAACAGATCGTCAGGTCCCAAATACCATTCGTCTCCATTCACTGCTATCGAACCCACTCGCTCATGCCTGCTGGAAGTCCAAGCCCCTCGCCCACAAAACCTCCCTTAGCCCTTCCTTCCAACCTTTTCAAGAACAACCCCTACTCCGCCTTCCTTCCCCTACAGATTTAAATGCTCTCCATGTCATTCTACTTTGATCCATTCTCTCTAAATGTCTTAAATGTCTTATTTATTTTCATTAATCCATCTATGATATTTTCTTCAAAATTATACCATAAGAAACACGTTACATAGCATATAAACATGCAATCTTTATATGCTATCGAGGGGTGGGGTCAGGTGAAGGATAAACATTACATTTTTTCTGGTCCAGCTTCAGAGAAAACATGTATGAATCTGCCTTGGCCCAGTAACCGCCCCTAATAATACGTAAGGCTTTTGTTTACAATTCTCGGCATGAATTATTCATTATTCTCCCTTTGTTTATGATGGCATCTAAAGGTAGTTGATTGAAATGATTAAACTCAGTGAACATGGTATGTCGATGGTAATAATATGGCCGTAGGTCGCAGTCTATGTAGCCGGTAGGTATACACCTAGATGTAGTCCGTCTGGGACTACAAATAAATATTACTCACCAGCAAGAGTCTTCAATAAAGGTATGTAATGTTCATTTATCATTAAAATTAGTCATTTATATTTATTTCTCATTGTTTTCTGTATGTAAAACTACAGTTATTCTCTATAAAATGTATTTTTTGTTAATGTTTTTGGGTGTCAGAATCGGCCATTTTGGATTTAGGCCACCCTTCTGTAACGGATTTATTACGAAAACTGGGGGTCTACTGTACTTTGGATATAAATTTAGTTAGTCTTTTGGACTTATTATGCTTGCTTAGAAACTGCTGTTTTCGCTTCAGATTTCTGCTTACCGTGATTCCCGTCTTTTACTTTTTTTTGTGTTATACATATTTCGCTCTTAGACAGAAAAGAGAAGACATGAACACCATATACACGATTATCAAGATTATAAAGAAGACTTCCTAACCCCCATTAACCCTTTGACTGTTTCGGTCGTATATATACGTCTTACGAGCCACCGTGTTTGACGTATACATACTCATAAATTCTACCGACTTCAAATCAAGCAGAAGAAAGCTGGTAGTCCCAAATTTGAGAGAATGGGTCTGTGTGGTCAGTGTGCACCATATAAAAAAAATCCTGGAGCACGCAGTGCATAATGAGAAAAAAAAAAACTGGCCTTTTTTTTTTTTTAATTAAAATGCTGATTTTGTGGTTTATTTTTGTATAGTATTTATGGGTGTATTCATGTTTTCTTGGTCTCATTTGATAGAATGGAAAACATATTATAGAAATAGAGGTGATTTTGATTGGTTTTAATATAAAAAGAACCTGGAAATGGAGCTCAAAATAGGGGAAGTGTTTGATTTTTGCCGATGTTCAAAAGTAAACAAATGATGTCATTGTCCAATAAATGTCCAAGTAACCATTCTAATATGCAGTCATGAATGGATTGACATTATTTGTACAATTATTACAGTATTGCAGTAATCTGCATAACAGTAAATCTTCTATTTTTTGTTTGAATAAAAACTCAAAATAGAAAGCAAGAGTAATATCAGAGGGGCCTGGAGACGTGACTGATGAACAAAGAAAATCTTATTTTAGAGCCAGGAATGTCTGCATTGTTCATTCTTGACCGTATTTTGAAACCGTCATATTTTTTAATTTTCGTGAAATTGGCCAAATTGCAAATTCCTGACCACTTTATTGGGTAGTTGAAATTGGTAAATGGGCAGTTTCTTGTACTCAATCGATAGAAAAAACGAAGTTCTAAAGAAATGGCTATGAGTTTGGTCGACTGGAACAATGGAATTAGCCGAAAATAGGGCTCAAAGTGGGTGAAATCGCTGATTTGTAAATATCGCCAAGGTTGCTAACTTCACGAGAGTGTAATTCCGTAAGTTTTCGATCAAATTTCGTTCTTTTGGTGTCATTACCATCGGGAAAAGATTCTCTATCATTTCATAAGTTTTTTTTTTTTCGACACCAGGAGATGCCTCAGGATTGGGGCTTGCGACAGTCAAAGGGTTAAGTGGTATAACAGAAGGCCAACAATACTAACCCCCCTCCCCCCCTTTTTTATTTTGTGTGTGTGGGGGGGGCAGATCAACCAGGCTGTGGATATGAGGGCCAGTGGACTGTCAGTAGAAACAGCCTGGATGACCAGGGAAGAACCAGCAAGTCTGAGTATTAGTAGGAAGACTCTCAAACCTCATCAAAGGTTTGTTGAAAGGTGTGGTGAATCAGTGAAATGGACTACAAGAGGAAGTAGCGTCTTACAAGCTCTGGAAACTCCTCTTATCAAACTTTCTTGCAAATCAACTCCCAGTTTTCCTAAACTTCAAACAAGATATTACCCCATTGATTTTGTTTTGTGTTCTAGTTTCACCTCATTATCCTTAGACACAATTTTAAAAACATTCATCAGTTTTCTTGTCTGTCACTGTATATAATGGGATTACTTTTGCATTATATTGACTGTTTTTTTCAGAAAAATTCTAAAGTTGAGCAGCCTGTCGGTAATCATGTTATGGTTGAGGGAGTACAAAATACCTGTGCTGCTAGTGGACTTTTACAAGAGAGTGATGTAGAACAGACACCACCAACACAAATAATAGCCAACCATGTGGGCATGACTATCAACTCTCAAAGTAATACAACTACTCTAAATGGAGATCATACAAGTATAAATGGAGATGCTGAACTTGATGGCGAAATGGAGGTGAGAAGTTTGAAATATTTTTGTAAACTCAGACACTGTTGTTATTCATGAATATGAAATGAATATGAAATGATATGAATATGAAAAATATTTTGTAATTAAGTATGAGTTTAAAACTGCATTTACTGTAATATGAACCTAGAGGAATTGGTGGTATTTTATTTGTCAGGAAACAGGACAAGTGTTTTCTGACATGAATCTTAATAATATGATGACTGGATATAATTGAAGCTTTTGAGCATACACAAATAACCCGCACTTAGGAGAAAGAAAAGCTTACGATGACATTTTGGTCTGACTTGGACTATTTACAAAGTCACACTAACACAAAAAGGAGAAGGAGCCAGTATGTGTAGGTGAGGGGGACCGGTACGGGTTCAAGAGAGGAAGAAATAGAAGTATGAGTAGTGGTAAGACTGGTAGTGAAAGTACAGTGGACCCCCGCGTAACGATCACCTCCGAATGCGACCAATTATGTAATTGTATTTATGTAAGTGCGTTTGTACGTGTATGTTTGGGGGTCTGAAATGGACTAATCTACTTCACAATATTCCTTATGGGAACAAATTCGGTCAGTACTGGCACCTGAACATACTTCTGGAGTGAAAAAATATCGTTAACCGGGGGTCCACTGTAGTAGTAGAAGATATAGTGGTAATAGAGAGAGTAGTTTAGTGGCACAAGAGAGAGAGAGAGGGGAGTGAAGGGTGAATGAGGCACTAGTAATGGTAATAGCAGTAGTAGTAGAAATGGAGTGGTAGTCATAGTAGTATAAGTGGGGTTAATCTAAGGACAAGAAAAAGGAGCACTGCAGGAGAGCTATGGGCCCACAATGGGTAGGGCCAAAAACATGGGGAAAAAACTGATGGACAGAACATACTTATGCAGATGAACTAAAACAGAGAAAGAAAAAGGAAAAAATAGGAAAGGAGAAGAGGTAGGGAGAGGAAGAGAAGAAAGGATGAGGTTAGGTCATGAATGTTCTGAAGTTTGGAACATTTGACAGTGTAATGAGAAAGGAACCCATCTACAGAGACAAAGCCAGGACTATGATTCATACAAGGAAAGTTGTGTATAAGGGATATTTCAGTAAGATAGCAACTGTAAAAGCTGGAAGTAGGGTAGACAGTTTCAGCAGAAGACCAGTCAGTTGCCTCCCTTCATCTTTCACTTCCCTTTCTCTCTTGTTCCACTAAATTGCTCTCCCTACTTTCTACTACTAATATTACTTCTACAACCTTACAACAACCTTACTACAACCACTACTTATTTTTCTTCCTCTTTTGGTCCCATCTTGTCCTTGCCTATGTACAGTAGGGTCCCACTTTACGGCATTTCACTAATATGGGCATTTCAAATTAATACCAAAACTATACAGCTCCCTTTCCACCCCACCTGACTCGCTAGTACAGTCACCGTGCACTACTGTTTGTTCACATCCTCCGTTAGCTCTGCGTCTTTCCATTACATCTGGAAACTTTTCCAAATTTCAAGTGTTTTAAAGTTTTTGCATATTTTATATATACTCTGATAATTATACTGAAGTGTACTTGTACACTGTGCTGGCGTGCAGGTACACATTAAAATCACTAGTTTCACTAGTCATGAAGACGCCATATTATTATTATTAAAAATTATAATCGTTATGGGGCGCTTTATGTGTCGTATATTATGTTAATATAGACAGTTTCATTAATTCATCTGTGATATTTTTTATCAAAATTATTTAAGAAACATCTACATAACATAAAAACGTGATAAATATAAGATGTAGTAGCCAGGCATCTTGTCGGAGTAACGGCAAGAATTACATTTTCTCTAGTTCATCGTAAGATACAATGTGTACACTATAGTATTACTGGGGGTAACTTTAATTGAGCTATGTGTAGAAAGAGATTTGGTAATAAGTAATACATATTTTATGAAAAAGAGGATAAATAAATATACAAGGTATGATGTAGCACGTAATGAAAGTAGTTTGTTAGATTATGTATTGGTGGATAAAAGGTTGATGGGTAGGCTCCAGGATGTACATGTTTATGGAGGGGCAACTGATATATTGGATCATTATTTAGTTGTAGCTACAGTTAGAGTAAGAGGTAGATGGGAAAAGAGGAAGGTGGCAACAACAAGTAAGAGGGAGGTGAAAGTGTATAAACTAAGGGAGGAGGAAGTTCGGGGGAGATATAAGCGACTATTGGCAGAAAGGTGGGCTAGTGCAAAAATGAGTAGTGGGGGGGTTGAAGAGGGTTGGAATAGTTTTAAAAATGCAGTATTAGAATGTGGGGCAGAAGTTTTGTGGTTATAGGAGGGTGGGGGCAGGTGGAAAGAGGAGTGATTGGTGGAATGATGAAGTAAAGGGTGTGATAAAAGAGAAAAAGTTAGCTTATGAGAGGTTTTTACAAAGCAGAAGTGTTATAAGAAAAGCAGAGTATTTTTTTTTTTTTTTTTTTTTTTTTTTTTTTTTTTTTTCTTTTCAACAAGTCGGCCGTCTCCCACCGAGGCAGGGTGACCCAAAAAAGAAAGAAAATCCCCAAAAAGAAAATACTTTCATCATCATTCAACACTTTAACCACACTCGCACATTATCACTGTTTTTGCAGAGGTGCTCAGAATGCAACAGTCTAGAAGCATACACATATAAAGATACACAACATATCCCTCCAAACTGCCAATATCCCAAACCCCTCCTTTAAAGTGCAGGCATTGTACTTCCCATTTCCAGGACTCAAGTCCGACTATATGAAAATAACCGGTTTCCCTGAATCCCTTCACTAAATATTACCCTGCTCACACTCCAACAGATCGTCAGGTCCCAAGTACCATTCGTCTCCATTCACTCCTATCTAACACGCTCACGCACGCTTGCTGGAAGTCCAAGCCCCTTACCACCAAAACCTCCTTTACCCCCTCTCTCCAACCCTTTCGAGGACGACCCTACCCCGCCTTCCTTCCCCTATAGATTTATATGTTTTCCATGTCATTCTACTTTGATCCATTCTCTCTAAATGACCAAACCACCTCAACAACCCCTCCTCTGCCCTCTGACTAATACTTTTATTAACTCCACACCTTCTCCTAATTTCCACACTCCGAATTTTCTGCATAATATTTACACCACACATTGCCCTTAAACAGGACATCTCCATTGCCTCCAACCGTCTCCTCGCTGCTGCATTTACCACCCAAGCTTCACACCCATATAAGAGTGTTGGTACTACTATACTTTCATACATACCCTTCTTTGCCTCCATAGATAACGTTTTTTGACTCCACATATACCTCAACGCACCACTCACCTTTTTTCCCTCATCAATTCTATGATTAACCTCATCCTTCATAAATCCATCCGCCGACACGTCAACTCCCAAGTATCTGAAAACATTCACTTCTTCCATACTCCTCCTCCCCAATTTGATATCAATTTTTCTTTATCCAAATCATTTGACACCCTCATCAGGTTGGTAGACAGCAACCGCCCAGGGAGGTACTACCGTCCTGCCAAGCGAGTGTAAAACGAAAGCCTGTAATCGTTTTACATGATGGTAGGATTGCTGGTGTCTTTTGTCTGTCTCATAAATATGCAAGATTACAGGTAAGTCTTGCTACTTCTACTTACACTTAGGTCACACTACACATACATGTACAAGCATATATATACACACCCCTCTGGGTTTTCTTCTATTTTCTTTCTAATTCTTGTTCTTGTTTATTTCCTCTTATCTCCATGGGGAAGTGGAACAGAATTCTTCCTCTGTAAGCCATGCTTGTCGTAAGAGGCGACTAAAATGCCGGGAGCAAGGGGCTAGTAACCCCTTCTCCTGTATATATTACTAAATTTAAAAGGAGAAACTTCAGTTTTTTCTTTTGGGCCACCCCACCTCAGTGGGATACGGCTGGTACGTTGAAAGAAGAATCACCTTACTCTTTTCTATGTTCACTTTCAACTTTCTACCTTTACACACATTCCCAAACTCATCCACTAACCTTTGCAATTTTTCTTTAGAATCTCCCATAAGCACAGTATCATCAGCAAAAAGTAACTGTGTCAATTCCCATTTTGAATTTGATTCCCCATAATTTAATCCCACCCCTCTCCCGAACACCCTAGCATTTACTTCCTTTACAACCCCATCTATAAATATATTAAACTTCCATGGTGACATTACACATCCCTGTCTAAGACCTACTTTTACCGGGAAGTAGTCTCCCTCTCTTCTACACACCCTAACCTGAGCCTCACTATCCTCATAAAAACTCTTTACAGCATTTAATAACTTACCACCTATTCCATATACTTGCAACATCTGCCACATTGCTCCTCTATCCACTCCATCATATGCCTTTTCTAAATCCATAAATGCAATAAAAACTTCCCTACCTTTATCTAAATACTGTTCACATATATGTTTCAATGTAAACACTTGATCTACAAATCCCCTACCCACTCTGAAACCTCTTTGCTCATCCAGAATCCTACATTCTGTCTTACCTCTAATTCTTTCAATTATAACCCTACCGGCTATTAGGGTGTGTAGAAGAGAGGGAGACTACTTCCCGGTAAAAGTAGGTCTTAGACAGGGATGTGTAATGTCACCATGGATGTTTAATATATTTATAGATGGGGTTGTAAAGGAAGTAAATGCTAGGGTGTTCGGGAGAGGGGTGGGATTAAATTTTGGGGAATCAAATTCAAAATGGGAATTGACACAGTTACTTTTTGCTGATGATACTGTGCTTATGGGAGATTCTAAAGAAAAATTGCAAAGGTTAGTGGATGAGTTTGGGAATGTGTGTAAAGGTAGAAAGTTGAAAGTGAACATAGAAAAAGAGTAAGGTGATGAGGGTATCAAATGATTTAGATAAAGAAAAATTGGATATCAAATTGGGGAGGAGGAGTATGGAAGGAGTAAATGTTTTCAGATACTTGGGGGTTGACGTGTCGGCGGATGGATTTACGAAGGATGAGGTTAATCATAGAATTGATGAGGAAAAAAAGGTAAGTGGTGCGTTGAGGTATATGTGGAGTCAAAAAAAACGTTATCTATGGAGGCAAAGAAGGGAATGTATGAAAGTATAGTAGTACCAACACTCTTATATAGGTGTGAAGCTTGGGTGGTAAATGCAGCAGCAAGGAGATGGTTGGAGGCAGTGGAGATGTCCTGTTTAAGGGCAATGTGTGGTGTAAATATGCAGAAAATTCGTAGTGTGGAAATTAGGAAAAGGTGTGGAGTTAATAAAGTATTAGTCAGAGGGCAGAAGAGGGGTTGTTGAGGTGGTTTGGTCATTTAGAGAGAATGGATCAAAGTAGAATGACATGGAAAGCATATAAATCTATAGGGGAAGGAAGGCGAGGTAGGGGTCGTCCTCGAAAGGGTTGGAGAGAAGGGGTAAAGGAGGTTTTGTGGGCAAGGGGCTTGGACTTCCAGCAAGCGTGCATGAGCGTGTTAGATAGGAGTGAATGGAGACGAATGGTACTTGGGACCTGACGATCTGTTGGAGTGTGAGCAGGGTAATATTTAGTGAAGGGATTCAGGGAAACCGGTTATTTTCATATAGTTGGACTTGAGTCCTGGAAATGGGAAGTACAATGCCTGCACTTTAAAGGAGGGGTTTGGGATATTGGCAGTTTGGAGGGATATGTTGTGTATCTTTATACGTATATGCTTCTAAACTGTTGTATTCTGAGCACCTCTGCAAAAACAGTGATTATGTGTGAGTGTGGTGAAAGTGTTGAATGATGATGAAAGCATTTTCTTTTTGGGGATTTTCTTTCGTTTTTGGGTCACCCTGCCTTGGTGGGAGACGGCCAACTTGTTGAAAAAAAAAAAAAATACATATACAAACATATATATACACACTCTTCTGGGTTTTCTTCTGTTTTCTTTCTGGTTCTTGTTCTTGCTTATTTCCTCTTACCTCCATGGGGAAGTGTAACAGAATTCTTCCTCCGTAAGCCATGCGTGTTGTAAGAGGCGACTAAAATGCCGGGATCAAGGGGCTAGTAACCTCTTCTCCTGTATATATTACTAAATGTAAAAGGAGAAACTTTCGTTTTTCCTTTTGGGCCACCCCACCTCGGTGGGATACGGCTGGTGTGTTGAAAGAAAGAAAGATTAATAAGCATCAGAGAGAGTGGCTCCCCTTACGCCTTCATCTGTTCGCAGTTCTCAGCGCCTCCTTGTCTCTTGCTTACTCATTCTCTCGTTTATGATGGCATCTAAGGGTAGCTCTTAGAAACAGTTAAACTCTGTGAACAAGGTATGTCACTCTGAGGCTCTTTAAATTCAGGTGTGGTAGCTACCACATCTGAGTTTCGATAATAAATACTCATCTCTCGCCCTACATTAAGACTTCACATATTTTAATGTAAGTAATGAGTTTACTGTATGCGTATTTTATCTCTCTGGACTGCTTCAGATATCGTATATTATTTGTAGATGTGGTAGCCAGGTGGGCTACTATACCTAACATACCTGACTTTCAACAATAAATGCTACTCACCTCTCACCCTACATTAAGATGCCAAATATTTTAAGGTAAGTAATGAATGTACTTGTATATTTTACTTATTGCTTTTTAATTCCTAGTTCTACTGTTAACTTAATATATGTTAGGGTAAACTTGTGTGGTATTTATGCACATTTATGTGGAAAAAATGGCGTTCCACTTTACGGTGGTAGTCTGGAACCTAACTTGCCATGTAAGTGGGGCCCTATTGTATACTGGCCCTTTCAGTCTTCTGTGTTAGTGTGACTTCGAGTTTGTAAATGGTCCAAATGTCGTCGTAAGTCTTTTTTCTCTCCTACATGCGGGTTATTTGTGTAATGTTCCAGTCACTGTATTGTGCCTTTTTGTTCCCTTTTGAGCGTAGTGTATATTATGAATTGTTTGTTATGAATTGCTGTTGTATATATCTCTAGTTTAATATTTTTCTTTATAAGCAGTACATGATGTAGATAGTGCATGATTGTGTAACCTTTCCATCAGCACAATGACAAAGAGAACTTCCCGACCCAGATATTGACGGAAACACTCTACACTACACTCATGCGGGATCATAACGGTTTGGGCTTCAGCATTGCAGGAGGGAGAGGAGCAGCACAGTTCAAAGATGGTTCAGATGTAAGTAACTGGAAAGTAAATAAGATTTTAACTTTACAGACAGGATGATTATACTTCAACAGGTGTTCCTCACCTTATGATGGGGTGAAGTTCCAATGAGCCCATCATAAGTTGAAAATATTGTAAGTCAGTTATGATTTTTTTAACACACCAGCTATTTCCCACCAAGGCAGGGTAACCCAAAAAGAAAAAAACCCAAAGAGAAAGAAAAAACTTTCATCATAATTCAACATTTTCACTATCACTCATACTTAATCACTGTCTTTGCAGAGGCACTCAGATACGACAGCTTAGACATCCCTCCAAATTGTCAATATCTCAAACTCCTCCTTCATAGTGCAGGCATTGTACTTCCCATTTCCAGGACTCAAGTCTGGCTAACTGGTTTCCCTGAATCCCTTCACAAAATATTACCCTTCTCACACCCCAACAGCACATCAGGTCCCATAAACCATTTGTCTCCATTCACTACTATCTAACACGCTCACGCATGCTTGCTGGAAGTCCAAACCCCTTGCCTACGAAACCTCCTGTACCCCCTCCCTCCAACTTTTTCGGGGATGACCCCTACCCAGTCTTCCTTCCCCTACAGATTTATACGCTCTCCAAGTGATTCTCCTTTGTTCCATTCTCTCTAAATGACCAAACCACCTCAACTGCCCCTCTTCAGTCCTCTGACTAATACTTTTAGTAACTCCACACCTCCTCCTAATTTCCACACTACGAATTCTCTGCATAATATTTACACCACATATTGCCCTTAGACAGGACATCTGCACTGCCTCCAGCCACCTCCTCGCTGCAGCATTTACAACCCATGTTTCACACCCATAGGAGTGTTGGTTCTACTATCGTACATTCCCTTCTTTGCCTCCATGGACAAGGTTCTTTGTCTCCACAGATACCTCAATGCACCACTCACCGTTTTTCCTTCATCAATTCAATGGTTAACCTCATCCTTCATAGACCTATCCACTGACACGTCAACTCCCAAATATCTGAAAACATTCACTTCTTCCATACTTGCTCCAATGTGATAACCAATTTTTCTTTATCTAAATCGTTTGATACCCTCATCACCTTACTCTTATCTATATTCACTTTCAACTTAATATCATTACACACCCTCCCAAACTTGTCCACTAACCTTTGCAACTTTTCTTTAGAATCCCCTAAAATCACAGTATCATCAGCAAAAAGTAACTGTGTCAATTCCCATTTTGTAATTGATTCCCCATAATTTAATCCCACCCTCTTCCCAGCACCCTAACATTTTCTTCTTTTACATCCCCATATGTAAATATATTATACAGCCATGGTGACATTACACATCCCTGTCTAAGACCTACTTTTACTGGGAAGTACTTTCCCTCTCTCCTTACCCACCCAATTCTGAGCCTCACTATCCTCATAAAAATTCTTTTCAGCATTTAGTAAGTTAGTAACTTTTCTATACACTTGCAACATCTGCCACATTGCTCCTCTATCCACTCTGTCATATGCCTTTTCTAAATCCATAAATGCAATGAGAACTTCCTTTCTTTTATTTAAATACTGTTCACATATATGCTTCAATGTAAATACCTGATCTACACATCCCCTACCCATTCTAAAGCCTCATTGCTCATCTGCAATCCTGTTTTCTGTCTTACCTCTTAATTCTTTCAATAATATCCCTACCATACACTTTCCCTGGTACACTCAGTAAACTTATTCCCTTATAATTTTTACATCTTCTGTCCCCCTTCCCTTTTTATAATGAATTATACATGCTCTTTGCCAATCCCTAGGTACCTTCCCCTCTTTCATACATTTATTAAACAAAAATACCAACCACTCCAACACTATATCTACCCCTGCTTTTAGCATTTTTGTCCTAATTCCAGCAGTTCCAGCTGCTTTACCCCCTTTCATTCTACATAATGCCTTGCACACCTTGCCCACAAACACATCCTGCTCTTCTTCACTCCTAAAAGATGTTATACTTCTCTGGCCAGTGCATGAAATTAATACCTCCTTTTGTTCATCGACATTTAAGAGTTCCTCAAAATATTCCCGCCATCTAACCAATACTTCATACATACAGCTGTGAATATAATATGTTAAATAAATGTGTAACTACTATCAATGAATAAGTAAAACAAATAATTACTGCAACGAAATACCAGTATTGAAAAGTAAATAAACAAGTTTATCTTAAACAATTTAGATAAGGAGAAATTGGATAGTAGATTGGGAGGGAGTATGGAAGAATAAAATGTGTTCAGATATTTGGGAGTAGACTTACCAGCAGATGGGTTTATGAAGGATGAGGATAATCATAGAATTGATGAAGGAAAAAAGCTGGGTGGTGCATTGAGGTATCTGTGAAGTCAAAGAACAATATCCATGGAGTCAAAGAAGGGAATGTATGAGAGTATAGTGGTACCAACACTCTTATATGGATCTGAAGCATGGATTGCAAATGTTGCAGCAAGTAGGAGGCTGTAAGCAGTGGGGATGTTGTGTCTAAGGGCAATGTGTGGCATAAATATTGTGCAGAGAATTCATAGTGTGTAAATGAGAAGGTGTGGAATTATTAACCCTTTGAGGGTCGACAGGCCCTCTCCGAAACTCGTTCTCAGGGTCGGCCAAATTTAAAAAAAAAAAAAAAAATTATTTTCTCTTATGAAAAGATAGAGAATCTTTTCCCGATCATAAAGACACCAAAAGTTTGAAATTTGATAGAAAACTTACGAAATTATGCTCTCGCAAAGTTAGCGGTCTCGGCGATGTTTACGCATCGGCGATTTTGCCCACTTTGAGCCCCATTTTCGGCCAATTTCGCTGCACTAGTCGACAAAAAACATGAATATTTCGCTAGAACTCCATTTTTTCTATCGAATGGGTGCAAGAAACCACCCATTTATGAAATTCAACTATCCAGTACAGTGGTCAGAATTTAGCAATTTTGCCAATTTCACACAAATTTCAAAAGATGCCAATTTCCGAATAGGGTCCAGAATAAACAAGAAAGACATTCCTGGCACTAAAATGACATTTCCTCTAGTCATTAGTCACATCTCAAGGCCCCTCTTATATTGTTTTGCTTTCCATTTTGAATTTTTATTCTCACAAAAAATATAAGATTTACTGTTATGCAGACTACTGCATTAGTGTAAAAAATGGTATATATATTATTGGTGCACTTGTGAAAGAATATTAGACTCACCAGTTGACGTGTATTGCACGCTTGGCACGATTTGTTTACTTTTGAAGTTTGGTAAAAATCGAACATTTCTGCTACTTTGAGCTCAATTTCAAGGCACCTTTCATTGTAAAACCAGCCAAAATCATCTCAATTTCTGTAATATGTCTTCCATTCTATAAAATGAGACCAAGAAAACTAGAATACAACAATAAATACCATACGAAAATACACTGCAAAGTCGCTGATTTATTCCAAAAAAATGGTCAAAGTTTTTTTTTTCTCATTATGCACTGTGTGCTGCAGGATTTTTTTTAGACTGTACACACTGACCACATAGACCCATTCTTTCATATGAAGGCCCACCAGCTTTCTCCCACTAGATTTGAGGCCGCTAGAATTTATGCGTACTAGTACGTCAAAAACCCCTACGCGTAAGACGTACTAGTACGACGAAAACCCTCAAAGGGTTAAAAATATTATTCCAAGGGCTGAGGAGGGGTTGTTGAGGTGGTTTGATCATTTAGGGAGGATGGAGCAAAATAGGATGACTTGGAGGGTGTATAAATCTGTAGTGGAGGGAAGGAGGGGTAGGGGTCGTCTTAGGAAATGAGGGAGCTGGTAAAAGAGGTTTTCTGTGCAAGGGGCTTGGATATGCAGTAGGCATGTGTGGATGTTATGAATGAGAAGAAGCTGGATGTCCTGGCTTTAAGTGAAACAAAGCTGAAGGGGGTGGGAGAGTTTCAATGGAGAGGAATAAATGGGATTAGGTCAGGGGTTTCAGATAGAGTTAGAGCTAAAGGAGCAGCAATAATGTTGAAGGATAAGCTATGGCAGGAAAAGAGGGACTATAAATGTATTAATTCAAGGATTATGTGGAGTAAAATAAAGATTGGATGTGAAAAGTGGGTTATAATAAGTGTGTATGCACCTGGAGAAGAGAGAAGTGTAGAGGAGAGAGAGAGATTTTGGGAAATGTTGAGTGAATGTGTGGGGAGTTTTGAATCAAGTGTGAGAGTAATGGTGGTTGGGGATTTCAATGCTAAAGTGGGTAAAAATGTTGTGGAGGGAGTAGTAGGTAAATTTGGGGTGCCAGGGGCAAATGTAAATGGGGAGCCTTTGATTGAGCTATGTGTAGAAAGAGATTTGGTAATAAGTAATACATATTTTATGAAAAAGAGGATAAATAAATATACAAGGTATGATGTAGCACGTAATGAAAGTAGTTTATTAGATTATGTATTGGTGGATAAAAGGGTGATGGGTAGGCTCCAGGATGTACATGTTTATAGAGGGGCAACTGATATTTCGGATCATTATTTAGTTGTAGCTACAGTTAGAGTAAGAGGTAGATGGGAAAAGGGGAAGGTGGCAACAACAAGTAAGAGGGAGGTGAAAGTGTATAAACTAAGGGAGGAGGAAGTTTCGGGTGAGATATAAGCGACTATTGGTAGAAAGGTGGGCTAGTGCAAAGATGAGTAGCGGGGGGGTTGAAGAGGGTTGAAATAGTTTTAAAAATGCAGTATTAGAATGTGGGGCAGAAATTTGTGGTTATAGGAGGGTGGGGGCAGGAGGAAAGAGGAGTGATTGGTGGAATGATGAAGTAAAGGGTGTGATAAAAGAGAAAAAGGTAGCTTATGAAAGGTTTTTACAAAGCAGAAGTGTTATAAGAAGAGCAGAGTATATGGAGAGTAAAAGAAAGGTAAAGAGAGTGGTGAGAGAGTGCAAAAGGAGAGCAGATGATAGAGTGGGAGAGGCACTGTCAAGAAATTTTAATGAAAATAAGAAAAAATTTTGGAGTTAAACAAGTTAA